CAAAAAAATTCTGGTTTACTGTACTTACGAGCTACAAATGATTTAGATATGGTTACGTTAGTTTTGTATTGGATTTCTATGGTGATTTACTGTAAAAAATTCTGGTTTACTGTACTCACTCACTATAGTGATACAAGTGATTTAGATAGTTTTGTATTGGAATTAACATGATGATTTCTATAGTGATTTACTATAAAAATTTTTATTATACTTACGAGCTATAGTAATACAAGTGATTTAGAGTTATGTTAGTTATAGTGATTGACTAAAACTTCTGTTATTGTACTTACAGACTTATGATTTACATAAGTGGTAATCGAATTATTATTTACTTCTAAGCTTCTTTAAGCTACTAAAATTTACAAATATGTATCATACTTACAACCCTTGACTAATTCATAAGCCTTCTTTGCCCATACATCATTTGGTTTAATTGTTAATAATTTCTTTAAGTCAGCGATTGACTCATTATATCTTTTCATCAAATAATTAATTTTTCTCCGATATTTTAATGCTATTGTATTGTCTGGTTCAATTTCTAGCAATCTAGTTAAATCTTCAAATGCCTTATCATATTCGCCTATAATAAAAAATACTTTTTCTCGGTAGCTTAATTCAAATACATTACTTAGCTCTCTTTCTAATGATTTTGTTAATTCATCGATTAAATTAACAAGCATATTTTTATATCCACCCATAATAAAATAAGCCTTGTCTTGATATTCCAATGTTAATACATTCTTTGATTTTTTACTAATGTCTTCATTAGTTATTGCTGTCAATCAAAATATATATAGACGAGAATAAAATTTTAAATAAGCAAAAAACGATTAAACCTTTTGAATAGATTTATAAATTTACCAGAATATTTAAAATTTTTGTTGCCGAAGTTTACTTCTACTGATCCGCCTTGCGATCTAAATCTAACACAAGAATATAAAATGCCTTTGAAATTGCTATGTAGATGGCATGCAATTCCTTAAAATATTTTATAACTATTAAATTTCTGTCTATTTGTTTTAAAAAATATAACTTTTAATTCTAAATGTTGGTTAATTCCGTTTTTAGTATAAAATACTATCTTATTTCTAAAATTTATATAGCATCCAACTATATCACCAGTAGTATATCCAGCGGTATATCCATAACGTGATAAATCATATGGCCTACCACTTCCCGAACAAAAAGAATATCCATCATCACCATGATAACCACACCCCCATGATTCATTTTCCTTGCTTTTCTGTTCTAAAAGATATGGCATAGACATTAATCTATAATAATGAAAAAATAAAATAAAAATTTGCTATTACCAGGCATGAGCATATTATTTAAATAATTTGAATCGTCTATTTTTTTATCGCTTTGCTTTGTACAATATCCAATTCCAATAATTCTATTAAGAAAATATAATTAAAGATTATAAAAAATCACCAGAACAAAGGTGATGTTTATGGTATGAAATAATTATTAATATTACCTATTTTTTCTTTTGTTTATAATTTTAATTTCAAAGTAAAATATCCCACACTCTGAAGGGATTGGGTTGTTTGCTCGAACGATTACAGCTTTATAGTCATCAGGATCTTTAATTAAAAGGTTTTTAATAAATTAAATAGCTATGATGATATTCTTTTAAATGCCGTTGATTACAGTAACATATTAAATATATTTCTGTAAGATTTCTCATTTTTATATTACCTGTATAACTCACTTTAAGTCCACTTGAATCTATGTCAATAAATGGCGATTTATCTTTAATATCCCATGCAGTCGGTAAAACAATATCATTGTATGAAGTTACTAATACTAAATCTCCCATTGCTGTAGCGGTAGGTTAAAATTCAATTCAGATCTTTTGTTAATGGACAAGAGTAATTTATACGTAGAAATATTAACGAACACAATGTACTATCTATGTATGCGTATTTGTATTCTGTACTAGTGTTAAGCATATTCATAATTTAATCTTATTTGATATCGATATAATCGATATATTTGTTTGTGTAATCCTTTTTAAAGTCTGCGAATAACTGAGAATAGACGATCAATTATGCGGATAGCTGCGTGCGAAGCAGACAATAACTACTTTTTCAGAATAAATCATGTGGGAAGTATAAGTCAAATGAATATCGACCGCCCATTAATAACGAAGCTTCGCAATGTTACGTGAACCTGATGAAACAATGTTGGAATAAAGATCCAGAAAAACGGTTAGCAGAAGAACTCTGAAGTTTTTAAAAAATGGCGAGAAGATTATCAAATTTTAACGGAACTAAAAATACCTGCGCATATCAGAAGCTTTGACATAAATGCAAATAGTGGTAGCAAACTAATTAATTTATTTAATCAAAATCACATTTTATCTCGAAAAGATAATATCTAGTTAGAAAATAGAAGTAAAGTGAAAATTAACAACTTTACATTTTCTAAATGAAATTTAAATACCATTTAGCCATTATCAAGAGACTATATTAAAATATGTAAAAAAAAAAAAAAACCTCTAAGCAATGATTGGGTTTGGACATGTCTTGAAAGCGAATTCAGTTTAGATCTTTAAACGGGCTATGACAATTAAATAATATAGATAGATGAGAATAATTAAAATTTAAATGTATAGCAAAAGAATCTTAGCATTGAGTTTACGTAGATAACTAGCAACTTTACATATTGCGGGTGACTTTGTCACCCGCCTGCAATTTTTAGTTGAATTGTCAGTTGATTTAATGCATGTATTGATTAAAGCAAATTGTTATACAATGAAGTATGGGATTTAATTTTGGTTTTCTGTTCAAGATAATTTATTTGTCAATAATAAAATTATAGATATTATACTGGCTCAAATTTTATTATAGATTTTACTAGTGCATGATCATGTAGCGGCTTCGCTGTACCAACTAATAATTAGATATAGCAGTACGTATAAGGTATTAAGCACTGATTACATGATTAGTTGAAATCAAAAAAGAGTTCTTAAAAGCGGTATTTCTATTTTTTACATTTTTTATGATCTGGCCGAGCGAAGCAAACTTGAAGTTTTGATCAATATTCACAATAATACGGATGCAATTTAAACATAGATACTAGAACTCACACTTTGCTATCTAGTTTTAGCTCACTAATAATTAGAAAATTAAGCGAAGCAGTATTAAGATTTTCTCATTTCAATAAAATAAAGCACAAATACATAAGGCTAATGTTGAAAATAACTAACGCAATAACTTTATCCTCATTTTAAGCTCAGGTTTACATTTATTATATTTTGCATCACTTGGCAGTGTTTTAAATGAAGCTTTTAAAAATGTATTTCCCGTATTTCATTGGATCTAATTCCTATTCATTATGTTACTCATTATGTTAAATTAATATAGCGCACATTTTTCGAACGCGATAAAGCATAAAATTGATTTCTCCGTGCCGATTATGGATGACTTTTATATGATTGGTTGTTTAAATGGATGACTTTTATATGATTGGTTGTTTAAGTCAATTTAATTTTACATTATTTATACAATTTAAAGTATTTTTTAAAAAAAAATAAAACTACAAAGGATAAATGGAAAAAAAGTGCACAGGAGGTATTATTAGTGTTGTAGGACTCCACTATTGCAGTATTGAAAATAATCACAGTCCCTTTTTGTTTTAAAGAAGTTAGTATCGTAATAATCTAGTTCGATCCGTTTTTAAGTTGTTATAATAATAACTTTGATCATTTTCAATAGTGGTGTCCTACAACTCTAATAATGCCTCCATGTACAGTACTTTTTTTTCATCTATTCTTCGTAGTTTTATTTTATTTTTTAAAAAGTACTTTAAACTGTATAAATAATGTAATTGACTTCAACAACCAATCATATAAAAGTCATCCCATGATTCTGTTATTAGAAACCAACGTTATAATTTTGAACACTCGGATAGTTACTGCTCTCTTCGACAACACGATCCACCATCACTTTGCATTCTTTTACCACAAGCAGGGACCGGCAAATATTCAGAAAAATTGGGATAATAAAAATTTGGATATTTATATTATATTCTGTGCTGCATTATTATATGAAACCTTTTTCAAAATAAATCGATGATTTTAATTTAACCAACCAAACTTCGCAAAACTTTAATTACTTTGCTAGTATTGAAAAAAATTTTTTGGTTGTTGAAAATTTAAATTTAAAAAATTTTGGATTGGTAATGTTTGCCGGTTCCTGTACTGCTATATATAAAGATGCTGATGAAATTAGAATGGTGAAGTAATGAGCGCTAGGTACAAATTATTTCAAAGTAAAAATTTCGTACTCTTAGGTTGGGATTTTGCAGTTTGAAATTATCACTTATACAAAATTTTACAAGGTAATTTTTTTTATAAATACGCAGAAAGCATTTTCATAGGCAATTTTTGAATCTGTGCCCGGTTATGCATGTTGCCGATCACCATGTAAAATTCTTTAAAGTTCATTAATGTTATTAAGGTTAGCGTTTCGTATAAAGTTAAAAGCTAAGTGGTTTTATAGTAAAATCGCACAAGGAAAACTTTTTGTTAGTGCACTAAAGGCGGTTTACTATACAGATTTTTGAGAAAGAAGCGATTTTTGGCAAAACGAACGTTTGTTTTGATTGTGCTACGTTACACCTGATTCTCAAATCTGATTTGTAGATCACGCATAATCATGCATAACCGGGCACAGATTCAAAAATTGCTTTTCGCTGATACTAAAATTTGGTTGGTTAGCGTTAGTGAAATTGATCTTGCATCTACAATTTGATTGATATGTCGTGTAACACGAGATTTTATAAGCCAATCAAAACATCCTTTCAATATTGCAAAGTCGTTACTCAAAATCTCCACACACAAACAGTTGTAACGGTAACAATAAATTTAATAGCTTCGAGCAAAAGAAATTAATTATTATAAAATATGTGGTCTGCACAAACTAACATTTTATTAAGAGTGTATAACTAGGAACAACCGAAGTTTCCACTGGAAAACTTTGTGAAGCTTTGCAATGTCAAAAGATTCACAAGTTCAAATTGCAATAAATGCACGAGAAACTTCCAATAAACTTCGATATCTAACTGCAACAGAAAGGAGTTTAGCTCTTAATAAAATCAAAGCCGCTCTCGAGAACAATAAACATGATATTTTTAAAGCGAACGAACAAGATAAACTGGTAATTTTCTTGTATGGTATTAACATATTGTAATTTATTTTCACATAAATTCTTCTTTTAATAAAAAGAATGCGGATAAGCTAGTAAAAGCCGGTACCCTTTCTGCATCCCTATTCAAACGATTAGACTTAGAAAAAGGGGACAAGTTTGCTACAATGCTTCAGGGAATTTCTGATATTGATCGTTTGCCTGATCCTATTGAACAAATTACATACTCAAGTAAACTTGATGAAGGATTGGAATTATATCGGGTAACTTGCCCGGTTGGTGTATTATTGGTAATTTTTGAAGCAAGGCCTGAAGTAGTTGTAAATATAACTGCATTAGCTATAAAATCTGGTAAAATTCTATTCTATTTTGTTATTTGATTTCATTGTTTTTATAAAGATAATTATATATATATATATATATTTTTTTTAATAATCAAAAAAGGCAATGCGGCAATCTTAAAGGGTGGAAAAGAATCTAACCTTACATTAACTGCCCTATTTTCTGCTATTCAATCTGCACTAAACGATACTGCAATCCCACCCAATGCCATTCAACTTGTTAAAACTCGAGATGAAATTGAGAATTTACTAGATCAGGATAAATATATTGATTTGGTTATTCCGCGAGGAAGCAATAGTTTGGTGAGATATATACAGGGAAAAACAAGGTAAATTACATGTTGATTATGTTGAAAGGTCATCAATTTGATCAGAAATTAATGGGCAATCTTTATAATTTTAGGATACCAGTTTTGGGTCATGCTGATGGATTATGTACAGTATATGTTGACAAAGATTCTGATCTTGATAAAGCAATCCGCGTCGTTGTCGATTCAAAGGCATGTTTAATCAAGATTATGATTTCTGTTTATTATGTTTTCGCTTTCTCATAAATGATTAACATTGTTTAACGCAGGTTAATTATCCTGCTGCTTGCAACGCCGCTGAAACCCTTCTTATTCACCGCTCGGTTCTCTCTTCACATTTTTTGCCAATTGTTACCGCTTTACAAAATAACAAAGTTTTATTGCATCTTGATCAAGAATCATTGTCTCTACTTCCATCATCTTATGATACTTCTCGAATTCAATCATGTGTTTCTGAAGATTTTGACACGGAATTTCTGGATCTTGAAATGGCTGTAAAAGTGGTTAGTGATGTGGAAGAAGCGATACAACATATAAATTCTCATGGTAGTAAACATACAGACGCAATTGTAACAGAAAATGAGTCAGTCGCCAAAAGGTTTATGCAGGGTGTTGATGCAGCAGGTGTATATTGGAATGCGAGCACTAGATTTGCAGATGGGTTTCGATATGGTTTTGGTGCCGAAGTTGGGGTATGTATATATTACTTTTATTGTGAACAATTTCTTCAATTTTTGATTTTTTTTTTTTTCCTCATTTTGAAAACGTACAGGTAAGTACAAACAAAACTCATGCGCGTGGTCCTGTTGGCCTTGAAGGGCTATTAATCTACAAATACAAGCTTTGTGGAAATGGACACGTAGTGAGTGAATTTGGTGAGGGAAAGAAGAAATATTTGCATGAGAAAATGAGTGTATTTCGAGACTTAAAATATGACGATTCTGCTAACAATCATTGAGAAGTAGTAATTTATTTTAATTTTAGTCATTATAAGTGTTCAAAATAATATTTTAATTTTAGATCAAACACAAGAATAATATTATAGTTCAAAGTTTTTCCTATTTTATAGAACAATATAGGTGTTTTTGACGACATTAATGGTTTGTCGTCCTACTATTTTATTCCAAATTAAGTTTAGGGTTTGTGACGAAGTTTCGTATCCAAATAAATGCTACTTTTTAAAGTAATAATGATAATGAATTTCTGTATTGACGAATTGAGGTTACCTTGCGACTTGGTGATAGGACACATGATAAATTAAATACCATGCCAACTTTTTACTGCTAATACTTTACATATCACGAGATTTATTGACTTAATCATGAAATGTAAGATGTAATTCTCGTAGCATAGCCGTACCTGGTGACTATTCGAGCTGTTTTTGCACTATTAAATTTCTCACGTCGAGAGAAATTGAATGGTTATTTGTGATTTAATGTGGTAGTTTGTGATTTATTTTCACTGAATAATGTGAAAAATCGCTCGATTCTAGCCATTTTGTCATGAATATCGTTAATGTTAATAGTATCATAATAATTCATCACGGTTAAGATTTGCGTACGTAGGGGACGACCTTTTAAACACCGGCTTCGAATAAAATTATTGATATATTTATTTCGAAATAAGTGATCTATAAGCTCTACCGTATTTGCGCGAAATAAAGCCCATGAGCGTTATTTAGGGACACAGTTTCAATATTAATAATTGAGCCGAAGGATTTTAATAACAAAAATTACGTTTTCGCACCCGGATAAATTAATTATGAACTCTCAAACTATTGGTTTCAAAATAAGGCCCATGGCGTATTTTCGTGCAGATACGATATTTTGTATGTTCATAGGATTAACTACAGAACTAGGGATGTTAAAAAGTCCTAACCAGACTTTTTAGGTTCAGGACCAGACGGAACTAGTTCATAACTCCTGTCCTAAACCGGTCCAACCCTAGTGGTTCAAGCTACCCCAGTAAGACCATAAAAGGTCGACAATATGCACCAATCAGATGATCTGCACTAATACAATCGAATATAAAAACCTACGTTAGGGTTGGAGTTGTGACTGAAATTACGGCTTATACTAAAATTTTATGGAGATAGTGCGCAGTAGGTGGTTTCATAGAAAGTTAGTAATGCAAACGGCTCGAGCCGAGCTGCGAGCCAAATGGCTAAGCCGAGCCGATTAACGGCTCGGCTTCAGGTCTACTAATAAAGCATCGGCTCCAAAAACGGCTCGGCTCTAGACCTTGAAACCAAGTACAGAAGTATGGAGCTGATTTTCACGTTTCACCTGATCCTTTGATCTAATTGGTTAAAAAATCGCGTTCGGGATTAAGTTTTGGATATAAATGTACGCATTAGACGTTAGTAGCTCATCTTTAACAAATAGTTTTTCAATCTCTTTAAAAGTACCTACCAAATATTTTTTTTAAAACCATTTTCAAAATCTTTTACTCATATACTTTTCGTGACGAACTTGTAAATACAATGAAATATTCCTTAATCACGAACGAATATGATTTTAAAAGTTGATGAAATCATATATAGTGAAAAATGAAAAATATGCATTTAAGAAGGCAATAATGAAAAATACCAATTTAACCTCTATAAAGCTCGCGGATTTCATGAGATACCTGGAACTAATAGAGGGCTTTGTCGAATTAATCATATAAACTTCTCGTAAGAACACTAGATTAACTTTTTGTGTAATAAAGGCAAAAATATTTGATCTAAACACTATTTTGACTTTATTAAAGATTAACGGGTATTGAAGCGGAAATGTATTTTCGGAAACACGTTCTCTTATCTTTAATTAAACATGTAATTCTTTTATTTTTTATCGTCATCATCATCACCAGCAATACCAACATACAATTATGATAATAATAATACAACATCGTCATCATCATCACCAGCAATACCATTAATTTAGGGTCAAAAATTAAATAATTTAGATCTACATTAATTTAGCGTTAATGTTATTTATTTTTTTTTCGTTGAAAATCAATTATTCAAATATATAATTTGTAATTTTAAGCACATGATGTATGGCTTTTGTGATCAAATAAATGATTATATATTCAAATCGAATGATATAATAATATTAGTCGATCATATTGATATAACTGATAAATTATAATAAGTCATAAGTCATCGCCATCAAAAAAAATAAAGTTGTATCTATAATTATATCTATAGCACTCTGAATATTACGTAAATTTTTTGTTGAACGTATCCACGTGAATTTGGTATTTTTAACCTAAATTTACAGTATACCGATTGCAAAACGACCTTGTCGTTTTCTGAGATTTACACATGGCATAAGTTGAGAAATGACACGAAACATATTCATCTCTTTTACGCCAAGATGCTAAAATATAAAATATAGCATCGAATAAGAAATTAAAGCTCTTCTTGTTTTTTTTTTTTTATTCTAAAGCCGCTCGATACGTAAGTATCGAGGCAGCTTTTGTCTCAAATCATCAGATTATGTTCGGTTTAATGATCGATCAATGATCGGTCAGTGATGTTAGGTCATTATGAAGTAATTCTTATAAGATGTGTGTGAAATGAAGTAATGAGAAAGTCTAAGTAATTAGTTGAGTAAATATGAAGTAATTAATTAGTGTACAGGTATATTAGTAATCGATAAGGTAATAGTCCTCTCTCCCTACCCAGGAAGTTTTTCCGAAATGGCCTGTCGGGACGACAGTCATGTGAGAAGCAAGGGTTGATGTGTAACTAATATGTCGAGACGACAGTCATTTGTACAAAATTTCGATGCATTCGATGGCCTGTCGGGACGACAGCCAGAATATATAAAAAAAAAAAAAGAAAGAGAGAAGATGAAAAGAGAACGTCGCGTCTGATGCTGAAAATTGGGGTCTTAATTTTAAAATATAAGCCCTGCTAAAATCCACATATACTCTTTATAAATTCTAACCCTAAATCCTAATCTAACCTAAAAAAAAAGCGGTAAAAAATACCCCAAAAAATTTTTAAAATTTAATATCAAAATAGGTTCAATTTTCAGCATCAGCCGTGACAGAGAATATTACACGATACTAAAAAATTGCGTAGGTTACTCGGTTAGCAGGAGAAAACACCCAGATGTATTTCCGTAGTAAGTCACCCGAAAATGAGAGACAAACCAAATAAATTTTACACCACATCCGTCAAAGAAGCTAAGAAGCAGAATCACATCAAACAATATCGCAAAATTTGAAAGTAATGAAATATATGAATACGTATCAAGGGGTTTGTTAGCTGTTAGATTATTACGTAGTACGTACGCAGCACTCATATCTACTACGATTTAAGCTTGATCACAGGTCAATCATGCTATTTCCACGCAAATTTGCCCAGAAAATGGTTCACGAGATAACTTAGCAGATTCAATTCTTTAGGTTTTTAAGAATTGAATTCGATAAGTTTTTTTTTTACCCCTTGATGTAATCACCGTGGGACGCCGTATGGCGTGCGAAAGATGGATAAGTTTAAAAGCGGTCTGGTTTCATTTGGCGTTATCTCATATATAGTTGAGGTGACGAAATTTAAGTTGGAGTTTAGTAAGCAAATTTCCTATTTTAGTAATGTTTCAGATTTACTTTTATAAATATTTGATACTATTTAAATAAAATAAGGATTACGTAACAGTATACATATTGTTTCACACGATCGATAAATAAAAAAAAATGTCTGAATATTCACTTTCTTTCTCAGACCGTTTCATTTTTATTTTTTTTCTCCGTTCCATCTTGATTTTTTTGTTTTTTACGTGTATCACCTTATTTGTCCTTTTTAATTCAAAATTGCACCACGATTACATTGCTCAAATCCCAGATTATTTTCTTTTTGCAAAATATTTAAAAATGTCTACCGAAGAGACTCCAATTACACCTATTCAAGACTTGGAGAATATTACCCTTACAGACCTTAAAGATAATTCCACATTTAAGGCTGGTTCTCTTTGGCAAGATAGCCCTGCCTTGCTTCTAGTCGGTAGGCAATTATTAATATTCGATATACTAGTTTAGATTTTTTTTTTTTTTTTTTTGATTGATAGTATATGGTTTTTCTGTTTTTAAAGTTCGACGTCCTGGATGTCAGTTATGTCGTGAGGAATCTATAAAGATTGCTTCTTATCGGGATCTTATATCGGACAAAATGGTAAGAAAACACTCTCATTTTACACTTTCGAACTTTCACTCTTATAAATTCTTAAATATATAACATTTACTTTGTTAGGGAGTTAAAATGGTAGCAGTAGTGCATGAGAACCTAGATAATGAAGTTGAAGAGTTTAACAAAGGATATTGGAATGGACTATTATATTATGATAAAGAGAAATCGTTCTTCACTAATATTGGGTACGGAAATTATCGTAATTATTACCATTCTATATATAATGTTCTTGACGTCTTTTTTTTTTTTTTTTTAATAATATAGTGGTGGTAAAATACAATATGGAGGAATCACGAGCTTTCTAAAACCTTCTGTATGGTTTAATATAAGGCAAAACGCTAAAACTGTAAGTTTTATTATTTGTATCCGTAAGGTCATATAGAGTTAATTCCTTGGTTTTCGTAATATTTTTCAAATTTTGATCCGACTGGAATATGAAAACCAATTAATTCTACATGACCTTATTTTACATTTTCACAAATACCAAATTGATAAATCTTAATGACATTTAAAACCAGGGTATTACCGGGAATTTTAAAGGAGATGGTTCAGTTCTGGGTGGTATATATATAATTCATCAAGGCTCAAAAGGTGTAGAGTATCAATATCGAGAAAAAGTTTGGGGAGATCATGCTCCTTTTGATAAAGTCTTAACTGCCGTGAAAAATGTTTCTACAAAGAAAGAT